TTGCTGCTTGGAGGAACTCGTATCAATACAGTTGGTCAGGGGAACTCTTAGAACTTACGGATGGGTGAAGGGGCTTTGTGGGGACGGTCCGAACTCCGACTGCCACACCATTCTCCATGATGACCTTATCGACCTTGGTGTTGCATTGGAGGTGGAGGTTCTGGTGAACAGATCGAGTGCTGTGGATGTATGCGTGAGCAGAGTCACTTCGACGACCGGTCTGCCAAATATGTTAGCGAGTAAATAAACAAAGTTGCAGGTAGTTACTGACGTCTCGGTTAATCCACTTCAGCCAGTGCTCGGCACCATGGCCCGTAACGAGATCTTGAAGATCATCAGTAGTTGGGATACCTTGACTCTCAGCGGCTCTGAGGAAGTCTTGCATAACAGGGTATGTGTAGTTTCCGAAGGAGACCTTGATTGGGCCCTCGAAGCCGTGAATATCCCTGCATCTCGTGTCAGCACTGGCAGGTGGCCTAGGTGATGAACGTTTTACCTATTGTTGGAGGCACGTTGATACGTCTCATGCTTCCTCATGAGGGGAATAAGCTCCTTTGTGGTCCAGCCCTTTGCTTGGAAGTCATCGTAATCCGAAGCAGATGCCCTAGTGTACATCATGAAGTTGATGGAAGATCCTCCACCCAAGATGTGAGCACAGGGAACAACAGCCTTGCGGCCACCAAGCCATTCTGATGGTCGTGAGTAGTAGAAGGAGGCAGTCTTGCTGTCCAACTTCATGTTACGGGGGTCTAGAGATGTCAGTTGACAACTGGGATGATAGCTTGCTGAAGCTTACAGATTCCAGGACGAAAGACCCATGGGTTGTTCAAGTTACTCTCTCCTCCTTCGATCAAGAGAACTTGAAGGTTGTGATCGAGATTGGCCAAACTGAATATAGTCAGTGTCTGCTGGTTCATACTCTAGACCAGAGAAACAAACCGGCCAGCTACAACACATCCACAACTACCTCCACCACACACGATGATATCAACCTCATCAGGGACCGTCATGATGTACTCAATAGAAAGATATTTTCAATATGATGTGATTTTGATGCTGTTTGTCCAGGCTCGATGAGAAAGGACAGCCAATGCCTTTAAAAACTTCTGAGAACACCGCTGGAAATGTCTCCTTTTTGACTTCCCCTGCTCCCCCTCAACCCCGCACGAGAGATTTGTCTAGGCAAGCTGGCTAATACGACCTGAACGGTCTCTGACGCGTGTTACATCCGCTTCATTCCCATTCATGAAACCCAATTGGATTCCAATCTCATCCCAACTGCATGCTTGCGTCGAGAAAACGCAACAGCTGGAGCTATTCCCGACAATTGTGAAGGGAGCTACCCCTCACTTGGTGAGACTTGGTCCCTTGGACGAGCTTCACGAAGCAGGATTGACGTATGGGAACCTTGTCTATCCTCCCCGTAAGCTCGGTGTGAGGAGAATTCGTGGTGATATCTCGGTGTTCAGGGTTCAATCTGATATTGAATTGAAAGCCATGCGTGCATCAGCGGCTCGAATGGCCTGGTATTTTTGCAGCTACCCCCACAAGCTACCCCGCAGCTAAGAATGATGTGGGTCTATTCTTCAACCTTGTCGAGAATTGATAACGGGAAATCCGTCGTTGAAAAGGGGACCGAAGAGTGTTGATGGGGGCAAAGGACAATATGTTTTTCCCGCGTTGAAGGTGTTGGCTCGGCTATCGAATTCTCACATCAGCCTCACCAAATCAAGTGACATGAATGAAAGTTTATGAAACTAATGAGCGATTAAGAAAGAAGTAACATCCATGAAGTCGTCAGCCTCTCGACAACGAACTCGCCTCGTACTACCGAACTATCCGGATGTTCTGCACTGCCTGGCCCTTTCAGCGATCCATGCAAACCCCGCAGATCAGCAGTTGGATGCAAGCATCAGGCAGCCAGTTACAAGGTATTTATTTTGCTTCGCTGAGCATGAAATAAACGGGGCTTTAGTATCGTGCAGGAAGAACAACAGGTATCGAATGCGAGGTTCTCTGGGCATTCCATGTCCCTAAGAGGATGTTGGTCGAGGGAGGAGGAAGAGGATGGGTTGACGTTGGGGGCTTAGCGACTGCAGGGTATTAGCGCCTCTCCGCACAGTGCAGTATTGCACTTGGCGGATAAAGTTTCCACCAGTTGTTTCTAATTCTCCTTGTTGCGGGGATCCCGCATATCCGCATGGCTTCGAGCCAGTTCCTATGGTTGTCAATGGACGAATTGACGTGTGGGGCTTTCAGAGGCGTGGGGCCGACAAGGTCTATGAAAAGGTATGAAGCCACTTCTGCATATCAACATGCAGGCATCATCGAGGAAGGGTTCTTCCATGTGCTCTGTAAACAGTGCTATTGGAAGAACAGCTCTATGCAGCTCCAGGACGGCAAGGGAGTGGCTTTCGGGCTTGTGGAAGGGGCGTCTTGGAAGTTCCAGCCCCGCTTCGGAAGTGTCCTCTATGGATGGAAACAGGACTTGTGTTTTCCCCTCAGGTGAAGCAGGTATGCGGCGAGGGAGCTATGAGCAGGACCACCAAAGCTACCTAGGTAATAATCGATGGTGGCCCTTGATAGATGAACTCTTCCCGGAGGCAGGAGGTTGGTCCGGGGTCCGTCATCCTTTAAAAACAGCGCTTCCGTATCAACGGCCGCCAATTTCGAGGGGTGCATAGTCTTCAGACCAGCCGCTCTAAGCCGAAGATTGTCTTGAGAAAGAAGAAAGATGCATGCCCTCTTGGCTTTTGACTTGGATGTTTCGAAAGAGCTCTTATTCCTGCCACCCGTCGCCGCCACTAGCCTTGCCATTCCATCACTGCTATTGATTCGTTCCAGCTGGAGGGAGCTTGACAAGTGGCCCAAAAAAGGGTAGCACATGAATGATGCTACTTGGAGCTATCCACTACCGGTATGGATTTAGCTCATGGGATCGTCAGCCAATTCTTGACCCCCGAACAAGAGGCAGGCGGAAACCTTGGACTGCTTTCACCGTTTCCAAGTTGTCAATATTTCCTATTGAAGTGGCGATAAATACATATTTGAAAGGTAGGCGTTCAACGAGTGTGAGGTTCTGGCAGAGCTTCCCAAAGTGGGTGTCGATGCTCGTGAAATAACCCGACGACAATCTAATTTCCAGTAATCTGAGGACAAACTTTATAGACCTGCATGGCAGAAAGAGTTCGGACGAGGCTCGGGGTTGTATTTGGGAAGCTTCCTACCAAAGCTAGCCGTAGACCTAACCAAGACATCAAAAGCTGCCTGGTGTGAAAGACGAACAGGGTAGCATGAAACTACTGATGAAATGCATCTGCAGTAGCTGCGAAGTCTTCATACTAGAATAATAGTTTGCATTGAGAAGTGGACGATCAAAACATAAAAGACGAGGCTAGATGAAAGATCCTGAGTTCGCTTCTAGACTTCCAGAGAGGACTCGATGGATGTTGTCCAGATAGCGCAAGGAACACAATTGGTCCATGATTTCCCAAAGAGGGTGCCTTGGATCCCAGCGGAAGCACCACAAACTTGTAATCGGGAGATCCATACCCGATCTCCAACTTAGGCTTTGACTTCCCCAGTCAACTTCGGTGCCAGATATGCATGCCAGACGTAGTACGATTGAAGTATGCACTGCACTTTACTGCTTACTGACGCGGGGGATGGGAACTTCCCTTATTCCGGCTATGAGCAAAGCTGGAGAAGCTATGGGGTAAAAAGAGAAAAGCTTCTCGTAGGTCTGGGGATAGGAAATTCGCAGCAAATGGACCACACTCTGGAGGATAAGTAGACCCGAGGTTCTGTTCTAGACGCCTTAACTTCAGATCCCTGAGGTTATACCAGCGAAGCCGTAAAAGTCTTCGCGAATCTTTGAAGTATGCGAAATCAAGGATGTCATCGTAATCGGAATGGAAGCTCTTGAACATCGATACCCAACGGATCTTCTCCCCTTCCCGGCTCCGTGCGGAGTCGAGGAGACATCCTCCGCAAGTACGCAGTCTCCTAGTTCAACTTAGAAGCTCATGGCTTTTGGTGACAGCAATCCCAAGTCCAAGCAGTCCCAAGAGAAACACGCAGGAACGTAGATTCAACAGGGTACATGGATCCACCACAAGCTTTGCAGCGAGACAGCGAGAAATAAGGTGGAAAGTCGGCATTATCCCTCGCGGATTTCCCGGGAACCATAATTAAATGTCTTACAAGTAGATTTGTGATGAGGTTGCACTGCGCTATTGTGCTGTAGATACGTTATGGCGGTGTCCGAAGTTTCTTGCTCGGCCGAAGTTTCCTCGCATCCGATGAAGTGAACGAACTCTGGTTTCTGATTCTGTCTGTCTTTGCCCTCTTAGCCTTGGGTTCGAAATAGTGGTTGACCGGTGTAATGTTGATCTTGGTTTCTTCCCCATCCCAATCCAGATGAGTGTGCATCACGGTTCGTAGCGGGGCATTTCGTTCCTACTCTCAGCTGCAACACTCTTGAGTAGACATTCCTTTCGCATACTCTCTCTTTGGGTCGCTTCGAAACTCGATAGTTGTCCAGGTTATCCAAATCTTCGTTGTCGCATTTTCGTTGTTCTCTTTTCGTTGAGGAAGTAGGAGCTGTGGGAAGGAGGGATGTATTTATCTCAAGTTTCAGATCACTCATCAAATCCCACCCGGGAATTTACGGAAGACGTGATTGACATGTGACCGGCTAGAGAAATCGTTGACGTCTATTTTCCTTGAACATTTTGATAACTTACCATCTAGATTAACTTTCGTTGCTATTCTTTAGCTAGTTAAATATAAATATATATCGTTAACCTTTGAGATGCATTCAAAGACATCTTGCGAGCTGCTGCAGAGCGTTAAGTGAAAAAATTAAGTAAGCGAAAAAGACCTTTAACCGCTGCCAATGCATGACTGGAGCAAAGTATAAGATCACTGCCGTGGGGGGGGGGGGGAAAGATATCGGAGTAATCTTTCAGAGCTAATATAAATCGAATAAGACCCATCCAGCCCGTTTGGCACAGTGGTAATGCGTCTCACTCGTAACTCGATGTGACGGCAATGAGAAGATCCGCGGTTCGATTCCGCGAATGGGCAGATGCGATGCGACGTTGTCACCCTTTTGCTATTATGAAAGGTTAAAGGAGATGGATATTTTGAAAAGGGTTGGAAGTATTTCATACATGGCCTTTTGTACTCTTATATTTTTTTTCTCTTCTCCGTGTGTTTCTTGTAAGAGCTACTCTAGCTTGTGTGCCAGGGATTGGTATCGAAAAGTGGGGGTTGCAAACATCCTTTGTTCAAATCCTTGCTTTCTCTCTCTCTCCAAGTTCAAGGATCAAGGATCTCTTGTCGTTGAGACATGATTCTGATCTAGTGTTTATTTTGAGTATCCTCTGATTCCGTCTCGTGTAATCCTTCACCACTTCGGCAACACAAATCCCAAAAGAATTTGAGGATTTGATTATGTCAGAATATCTTATTCATTTCTCCTTCGCCAATCCAAACACTGATCATTGTCTCGATTTCTCTCTATGGCATTTCAATTGTATATTAAGTGTGTAGATAGCCTCTAGTGACCTTGCACCCAACCTCAGAAAGGATCCATCCCAACACCAACCTCCGTCTCAAAACCACCTTGTAACGAGCTTAGTGCGCCATCATTCGCCAATCTCCTCACTTTCGCAGTAACCCCATTATTTGAAGGCTCAAAAAATGTATCAGATGACCTCTGCACCTGTACATTTACGAGTCCCAGCCGACTTTCAGCATTCTCCTTACAGAAAGCCTCTAAGGTGTCCGTAGCCATCTTCTTGACGCCCTCATGGTCGATTGGAGCCAGATTATAATTAGTATGAGGCAACCTGATTCGGATCTGTAGATTCTCAATATTGTAGAAGCTGGAGAGGAGTTCGAAGGGGTTGTTGGACTGCGCTGATTGTTAACCAGTGGTCTAAGGACTCCGCGGAGGGGAGATCACACACCCAAGCAAGTTCACCCGGACTCCAATACCCAGGAGACTTCAAAAGATCTATCGCAATAGCAAGTTTGACTAATTTCGGAAGCGATCCCAGCAACTGCTTCAATGGCTCCGCAGTCCACCCAGGAACAGATTTACTCAAACGCTCCGTTGGATTCACATCAAGTGACCTCAAGCTGTGTCCATGTCTTGCGATACTCGTGCAAAGCCCCGGAAACAACGTCCTCGTCCAGTCCGAAATGACCAATTCCTCCAACTCCTCAATGGAATCAAGAAATCTCGTAGTCGCGCGAAGTAAAGGTGCAGGATCCTCCTTTATTTCTGGACCCAAGGAAAGGCGGAACTTTAAAATTTTAAGCTGTGGTATATGGCCACGGAAGATGACGAAGAAATCATTCGGCCGAGCATTCCATAAATCCAGCTCTACAAGAGCTTTCCAATTCATGGCTGTCTTCCAAGCTATACATTGCGGTTTGCTCAATTCGAATCCTGGTGGGTGGTAAATATTGCGATTTTGCGTGAGGCTGGCAATTTCCTTGAGTGTGGGAAACAAATCTTCGCTGCGGAACTGTGTATGAAACGGGCGATTGTCATCGTTCTTGTAAGGTTCCGCTTTCTGTTGTATGTTCCCAATCATATAGTTACCTCCTGCGATACACCCAAGCTCTAGGATGCGGATGTTGGGACCGCGTTGGAGGATGTTCTTCAGGACCGGAAACTCAGCAATCTCTTTGCTGGAGTCTGGACCAGCACCCAGTGGGAAACCGGAACCGTTCTGAATAGCAACGAAATCCAGACAATGAGGTTGGAGTGAGCGACGTAGGTCCAGGTCTACAGCCGTGTTCCAGTAATAGCCCCATGGAGCAGCAGCACCGCGTTTCCTAGTTCTGATGCTGAGCAGAGCAGAGGGGAAGAGAATGTGGAAGTTGGAGACCACGGGGAGTGGGATCGGCTTCAAACATTCCCATCTAGGTGACGGGCGTCAGCTCATACATTCTACAGTATCTTGTTTGCTATTCAATGAAGGAACCAAAATGGAGAACAGACCTGAAAACAGACAGCTTTTTCAAACTTCCAATTAACCCTTCCAGTTCACTCGCTCCAAATTCACGAGATTCGGGACCAGGCCAGTCCACAACGGTGAGCTCGCGAACAAGAGAACTGAGAGTGTTTCGAGGATCAGAAAGCCGCTCCAGAAGAAGTTTGTAGGGATACCAAGCTGTAGGCCACCCATCGCGTGGACCACGAAAAGTGATTTTTCGATAGATGAGCGTCTCGGCGATGGGTTTCGTGGATCTGATGAACAGGAGATTGTGGAGTGTTCGAGGATTATCATTCTCAACCTGGGGGTGTCAGCAAGATTCCATGTTGTGTTCTTGAGATGAGAGAAACGAACGATAGTGAAGATTTGGATGAGCACATCGTCAGGGACAGTTGAGAAGATTTGAAGGGCCATGCTGACATGCGATGAAGTGAAGGTGGAGGACGGGAGACTGGTCTGGTTTCCCTTGCGAACCGGATCTCGAGTTGTGATAATGTGAGTTCGAAGGGCGAGAGAGAACTAAGTCAGTTGATATGAGCTGTCGAGTTCAGGCTAAAATAGGCTTGGCAATATTGAGCTGGGGTCATCATTTCGGTGAGCAGATTCGGTCACAATCTACAGGCGTCGTAGGGGTCCGTTCGCTTATTTAGTGGTCATCAGTCCTGTAATTCAGGGGGGCCTCGCTTACTTTACAGGGCTTTCAGGGCAGTGCCGCTGCTGAAGAACACTGTAGTCAGTTTTGCAGTGCGGAAATTTGTTGTGAATTCATTTAATACTTTAAAAGATTCGCCGGCAGTATAAATTCAGTAACGTATATGTCAAATTTCAAGGAACTATTCATTCAGACTGAGCTAGGTGCAGCAAAATATTCAACAAAGAAATAACATGATGCAAGATCGCACCCAGTCTTTCAACCACGATCCCACCCACCCCATAGCAGTCTTCTATCTCTTATTTGCTCGCTATAATACACCTAGGTTTCAAGATTCTGCGTGACTACCCAAATCACGAAAAGCTTGTCAAAAGTCCAAATCTAGGGTCTTCAAAGAAGGGAGAAAAGTCTCTCTTCTGAGGCGGATTCGTGCATGAGTATTTGACAATCTCGAACTAGGTATTGTCAGATAATTCCAACACCAATACAATGGTGGATATACGTACCGGCTGATCAGGCCATCTTTGGAGAGGAATTCTTCGATTGGGATTAAAACCGAACAAGGTCCTAGTTAAAGATCAGCGACTGACAACCAGAATTTCTCTCACTCCCCTTGGAAGCTTACGGGGCAACTATTTGAGCAAACAATTCAATCTGACCGTTGGCACCATAGCATATGTTCAACTGCCTTGTGGATCCATATTCCAATGTGCCCCAGAGTCGAGCCCAAGCCTCAACTCCAAGGACGATCTAGGGGTGTTAGAAGATCATCAAGTATAGAATATGATAACCCACCTCTGCATTTGCAACTTTATCACTGTCAAACACAACACCTAGAGTTACTTTGGGAACGCTTCATTTCGTTAGCTTCTGATAAAATTTCCGGGGCAGCAGGAGAAAGGAGCTTACATTCTCGTGATGATCTCTCCGCTGGCATCCAAATTCCACTTGATTGGATTGGATTTAGGTCCAGTGAAACCTGGTTCTTTGGGAGCTCCCTCTTCATCAACAGAGTCTGTGTCGGCTGTGACACCTACCGGTGGATAACGTTGAGAGTAATCCCATCCAATGACATCAAGTTTGTAGGAAGTTTCGCTGAATAAGTCAGTGAAGTTCGGACAGACTCAGACAAATCATGCATTTGTATACACAAGAAGAAAACTTACAATTCAATCACCGCATCTCCTGAGATTTGAGCAACGATTCGGAAGTTTGGTCCAATAGTCACGAGTCCGGGGACACGGAAAGGACTTCCAAAATTCTGGGCACCTTTGGCACAATGTCAACACTTTTGTCCGGATCTGATGGAGGGGATCATAATCACCAAATAGCTCAACTTCTCCTGTGTGGAATGACATCCTCGCCAAAGCCGAAAATTTGAGTTCCACGTCAATGTTTCCTTTACTGCGGAACCAGACATGAGATTGGAAAAATGATTGCAGATTCCCAAGCGTGCCCTGGGAAGTGGTCAGCTAGTCACTGATTCGGATGGGAAGGAGGTAGAGTTACAATCATTGTGACGCCAGCAGAAGCTTTGACGTCAAGGGTTAGAATGGCATGTGCTTCGAAATGCATCTTGAGGGGATCTAGACAATCGATTTCTTGGTCGATCAATGTCCAGTCAATCTCGTCCTACAAAATATTTGTCAGCTACCAAGATTAGAATCGAGAGCTATTTGCTTACGTGGATATCATGACGGAAGATATTATGGTTGATGGAGATATCTTTCTGCTTCTGGAACCACTCGGAAACTTTCCCTGAGAACCATCGAGCATGCAGTTCGTCGCGCTCTACCATTCGCTTCTCCTTGTGCCAAGTGTGTTCCATCCAGCTCTTGTAATCCCCGCCATGATCTCGATGGACTTCTTCTTCGTCTCGCTTCCTAGTTTCAGGGCGAGGTGCAGCTATGACGGTGTAAGAGAATTGATTCTTGGAAATTGGAGTCGTCACTTACCGACAACTGATGCCCAGTAACCTGCATCATCGCTGTAATCAATTCGCATCAAAACATCTAAAATAGGACGAGATTAGGATCAAATCTTCAATCGAAATGCTTCAGTGCCAGTTGGAGGTTCTGTTTCGGACTGACGGGCGGCTAGATAAAGCTCAAATTGCAGCCTACTTGAGTTTACGGGAGGAGGAGGCAATGACTTACTAGTTGAAGCTCTCTTATTGACAGCTGTAAAGTCGTAATCAAAAGTGAAGTCGTAAATTCTCGGATCAACACCTGAACGCTTCTCAAGATGATGAGGAAGCTTTGTGAAGTTTTTAGATCGTTCGAGGCTGACAGCCATGGCATATGATCCAGGTCCGCAGCCATCAGGCATCTCTACGACGGTGTATGCGACACCGTCCTGGAAAATATCGTGGCAATTGCTTTGTGAGGAAGTATCAGTGCAGACGGCTTGGACTGTATGTGTCC